TTAAGCTGGGAGAATGGCTCAAACAGATCCCAGGAACAACATCTGAGCTCTTTGTCCAGAAGAGTGCAGTGCTAGGAACAGCATGTTGGCTTTTGCTGTGTTGGCTGGAAATGACTGCGAATCAAGTAAAACATATCAAACTGACACTCGATTGGGGAAGGCTAGAGGACATCATGAACAATGGACAGAGTTTAATGCAGCATTGTCTGACTCTTATGACGATGGTTCTATTAAGCTATGGCCAATGAGCATAAAATTCCAGATTTCTAAACCTGCAACTATTGTACTGTTTGTCACAGGAATTGCAAACTTGTAAAATTTACACATCAAAAATTTGCATATTAGGAAAAGTTTACACAAAAACACATTAGATTATGGAAAATGGCTTACAAATATGAGTTCTTACTACATAAAGAGATACGTGTATTTGAAAAAAATGCACATGAGAATGCATATGATTTTTAAAAATTGTTTTTATTAATCATTTTTTTAAAAAAAGAAAACAAACATTCAAAAAAATAATTGTTGGAAAGATATAATATTGGTAAGTGGATAAAGAAGTTGTACAGTTAATGCTCAGTATATAATTTATGGAGAGCCAATTTGTTTTTTGTTTTAATAATATTTTTATTAAAGTTTTACATAGATAAAAGCTAAGAACTAAAAAAGATAAAAGAAGAAAAAGAAGAAGAAAGAGAACAAGAGAGAGAAAAAGAGAAAGGAAAGAGAAAGTGACTCCCCCCTCCAAACAAGTACAAGCATTTACAGTAACTTAACACCTTCTGTAATATTGCCGGGGGTAGGGGGGACCCTCTTCTTCCCATTCTCAACCCTAAGCAATAGCCAAATTATATACATATATAAAAAAATCTTCAACCCATCTTACTTAGCAAAAGCATTAAGAGTACCAGTAATAATAACCTATATGTTTTAAGCTTAGACAAATCTATGTTGCATTTTGATTCAGATCTTTCACTAATAAGAGAAATGGACAGTCAGTTCGGTGTAGTGGTTAAGGCATCAGGCTAGAAACCAGGAGACTGAGTTCATAAAAACCAGAATACGTTATTTTTAACAGTGAGGAAAAGAATTGTAGAGATCTTTTTTAAGTCAAGAGTCAGCATTGGTATTATCTTGGACTACCGAATGAACAGTTGCTCTGTCTTGCTTTGGATGAGTCTGCACTTGTTTCTTACCATCCTGGCTGACAGCCTCCAGGTACTGGGTGAAGAATTCTGCTGTGTCTTCCATTTGACCTGGAGTGGAAATACTGTATATAGCTGAGTGTCATCTCAATATTAATGATACTTAATTAGTTGGTGGCCTCTCCCAGAGGCTTCATGTAGATTAACTAGACTGGCCAGAGGACAGAATTATCACCCAAGTCCCTCACAGTCAGTCATGAAGGTGACCAATGCAGTTTCTACTCCATGCTCAAGCTGAAACTGGACTGCCATAGGTCCAGAGCTCTCTATAATTATTGTCCCATCTTTCTCAACAACCTTGTAATATATTGGCAAGCCTCACATAACTTTTTTTTTTTCTTTAAGGCACTATATTTTAAAAGAAGAGAAATAACAGAAAGCAAGGATTCTCCCCCCCCACCCCGAAACTCCAAGTTGCAGATGTATGATCAGATTTAAATGTTTTATCTGCTGTGGAGGTTATTTTATTTTTAGAATCCTATGATATGAACCATTTGACAATTAGGTGTATTTGATCCAGTATTTCCTCCCAAACCACAGTTCAGTCATTCTTTCTGATATTGTTATAATGTGCCCTTAGCAACATTCTCCACAGACCCTCATGAAATGCATATCTTGAATCCTGTGCAAGTCTCACTGCAAAACACAGCCTTTCTGTCTGGATACAGTCTCCACAAAATAAATAAAAAGTTAGAAGGGAAAGTGAGATAGTAATATTTCAACCTCACAACCAAGTAACATGTTTATGAGACTTTCAATTGTTTTGATCCTGTACTTAGCAGATGAACATATACATAATCTTTGCAAAGTGTTAGTACCACTACAATATAAGGTGTTGCCCACATACTTGGATGGCTTTTAGCAGGGAGTGGATAAATTCAGGGGTAGGGGAGCAATGTTTCTTGATGACTCAGTGTTATCTGTGGGTTTGAGCCATGCCTGACTAGACTACTGATGCAATGTAACCTGTTCTGGATGCACTCAATGAATGTCATCCTTTAGCATCACCGAGCAATCAAGCACCAGAGGTTGATTCCACCAGTGCATCGGGTGCCTGTCAGAGGACAAGGATCCTGATCTTGGGCAATTGCCCAATCCCTAGGTATGCTGCTCACTTTGGAAAGCAGAACAGAGGTATTTGGTGTGCTTCCTCACAGGCAAGAGCAATACTGGCCTTAATAGTTTCCTACCTGAAGATGGCCATACATGAAAGTGACCACCAGCCAGCCACCCTTTGTTGGGAACAACTGATTATATCTGAACACTGTGTGGCCAAAACTTTAACTCCTGAAACTCTATCCTTCAGACCTGCACCAGCTGATGATCTACTTGTGACCACCAAAACTTTGGACTGTGTCCTGAGTATAATAATGTTTGCTGACTTGGACTTGGACTCTTTGCAGGCAGGGTCACCTGTTCTTGGCCACAGCTTTACTCTAATGAAGATGCCAGTGTACTGACGTTTATTGCAGAGAAATGAGTGTCCCAACTTCACAGATCTCAAGATATACTTTAGGATTTCTTTCTTCATTAATCAGTGATATAGAACAGGATAATATCTTAAATTCTGAAAAAATAATTTATAGAAATCTACTAATATCTGGTAAGATTGCAAAGTCTTGATATTGGAAACATCTTCAGATGGCACTGATTTTGTTATGCTCTGAATGTTATATATGAAATATTATATCATATTATCTATATATATGAATACAGCTTTGAGAAGCTATATAGAGAGATGGATAGAGAGACAGACAGTTTCATGACCAGGATTTCAACTTAAGGTATGGACTCCCCAAATGTCACATAGTTACTATTAACCATTATTTTACAAATTATATAACTTACATTAATAATTACCCAAATTAGTAGGCATTTACACTAAATGTAGATATATTAAAGTCGCGACAGTGCTTGTATTAAAATGTTGATACCTTCCTCCTGCATACCTCTTCATCCATCCATTGTTTTTCTTCTTACCCAAGAGATTTAGGTCCCCTGTGAGTGATTACATATATTTTCTTAAATGGGTACTACCTTAGGATTGTATGATGCTATTCTTTGAATAAGATACAAAACAAACCTATTTATGTTAAATAAAAAGTAAATCTCCTTAAATTCAGTGGTGCTAACTCCCAGGAAACTAAGCCATAAGGAGAATGTCCCACAGGGGAAAATAATTATCTTTGACAGAAAAATATGCAATAATGTATGTAAGGAAAGAAGACACTTTTTCAAATTGCTTTAAAATATATACATTTAAACCATGTGAATTACATTTTTTGTGGTTTACAATTTTACGGTTTACAATGTATTGTGAAGCATCCCTTGAAATATTAAAAATGCTATGGGAATTTGTATACAGTAAATGTCGTTCATTTGATTCATTGGGGCTTTCTGACTCTCCCCCTCACATTCTTATCTGCCTTCTCCTAGGCCTTAGAACTGGGTAGGTGAGAAGAATGCCTCTTCCTAGAAATTGACAGAATTCTAGCATTTTAAATGTAAATGTATTTCAGCTGTTGGATATCTGCCTCTCATACATTTTCCTTCATGCTCACCAGGGGGATGGAAAGATGCAGCCATGGTTAAACATGCTGGGGGGGGGGGGG